GGGAATGGGGCACTGGGAATGGGGCACTGGGAATGGGGCACTGGGAATGGGGCACTGGGAATGGGGCAGGGGGAATGGGGCACTGGGAATGGGGCACTGGGAATGGGGCACCGGGAATGGGGCACTGGGAATGGGGCACTGGGAATGGGGCACTGGGAATGGGGCAGCAGGAATGGGGCACTGGGAAGGGCTCACCTTGATCCCCGAGAGCATGACGGTGACCAGGTAGAAGTCGGGCAGGAGCAGGGCCCTCACCACGCTGCCGTCCCGCACGTGCTCGATGATGGCTGCGGAGCGACACCGGAGCTCAACACCCGCTGGGCCGGGGACACGGGACACGGGGACACGGGACACAGGGACACGGGACACAGGGACACACGGACACCTCACCATTGACGGGTTTCTGGTGCAGGGAGTCCACGAAGTGCCGGGGGTTCTCCAGGGTGTACTTGAGGTCGCGCACGGTGTGCGAGCCCGAGCCCTCGCTCCACATGCCCTTCTTGGCGCTGCGCGCCTGCTCCTCCAGCTCGGCCAGCCGGCTCTGCTCGGGGCTGCAGGACACGCCGCCCTCAGCCCGGGCACCTCTGGGTGCTCGGCCACCCCATCCCCGCCCCAACCCAGCTCTCCCAGCGCCCATCCCAGCGGGAATCCAGCTGGAAGCGCCTCCTCCCACGGATCGGGGGAGGCCGGGCCCGGGAGCCCTTCCGGAGACTGCTCCGGGCACCGAGGGAAAGGCAGCGGCGCTCGGCAGGGCAGGGCAGGGCAGGCACATCCCATGGGAATCACGGATCATCCCGGCCCTGCGCACACGGGCGGCCACCCAGGGGCCCCCAGCGTGCCCACGATCCCCTCCCAGCCCTGCCACGGCAAACTCAGGGATGTTGAACAGGGTGCCAGAGCAGCTGGGGCTGCCATGGATCTCTGGCAATGCCCAGGGCCAGGCTGGACACTGGGGCTGGAGCAGCCTGGGACAGTGGGAGGTGTCCCTGCATGGCAGGGTGGCACTGGAGGGGCTCTGGGGTCCCTTCCAGCCCATCCCAGGACTCCACGACCCCACAAAGGAGGCTGACCCTGCCCTGGAAGCGTCCTGCACCCCTGGAATGGATGCTGTCCCCACGGCTGCAGCCCTGCACAGCCCAGGCCCGGCCTCTCCCATGGATGTGAGGGAGCCCAGGAGAAGCCTCGGCCCTGCTGGCACAGGGATAACCCAGCCAGATCCAGCAGCAGGAATGTCCCAGCACCTCCTCTCCCGTGGGAATGAACGGGATTCAACCCCACCCAGGAGTGACTCTGGGGGCTCCAGAGAGTCCCTGCCCCACAGCCCACGGACACGGCTCCGCTGCCTCGGCATCCAGGGAAGGAGGCAGCCCCTGCCAGCCCCGCCACATCCCCAGAGCCCACGGGATTTGGGGTGTGGGCACCTGGGGATCCAAGGGCTCCATGCCCAGAGCGCCAGCCCAGGACCGGGATGGGAGCTGGGCACCTACTTGTTGGCTCGGATCCCCTCCCGCCGGGAAGCCAGACCTTCGGCCACCAGGGACTCGGCAATGTTCTCCCCACTGGTGTCTGTAGGAGAGGAGAGCAGCAGGAGGGTGAGAGGGGCCACAGGGACGCGGGAGTGGGGCAGCATTCCCAGTGATCCCAGGAAAGCAGTGCTGGAACAACCCCCGAGCTCTCCCAGGGACATCACTGCCCCCAGCCTGGGCTCCCTGGGCAGCCCCAGCCAAGGCCTGACCCCTTTCCATGGGGAAATTCCTGCTGGTTCCACCCTGAGGCCGCCCTGGCCCAGCCTGAGGCCGTTCCCTCTCCTCCTGTCCCTGTTTCCTGGAGCACAGCCCGACCCCCCGGCTGTCCCCTCCTGGCAGGGACTTGTGCAGAGCCACAAGGTCCCCCTGAGCCTCCTTGGCTCCAGGCTCAGCCCCTTCCCAGCTCCCTCAGCCCCTCCCGGGCTCCATTCCCTTCCCAGCTCCCTCGGCCCCTCCTGGGCTCCATTCCCTTCCCAGCTCCCTCGGCCCCTCCTGGGCTCCATTCCCTTCCCAGCTCCATTCCCTGGACACTCCAGCCCCTCCAGGGCTCTCCTGGCAGGAGGGGCCCGGAGCTGCCCCCAGGATTCCAGGGGGTCCCTCAGCAGGGCCAGCACAGGGGACAGTCCCTGCCCTGGGCTGTGCCCACCCTGGGGCTGCCCCAGCCCAGGGCCATCGGCCTCCTGCCCCCCGGCCACCCTGGGCTCGTGCCCGGCCGCTGGCACAGCTCCCCTGGGCCTTTCCCAGCCCTGCAGCCCCCCTGCCCCAGCCTGGAGCGCTCCAGGGGCTGGGGCTGGCCCAGGGCAGCGCCTGGCACTTGGCCTGGCTGCCCCTCACCATGGCTCCAGCCTGTCCCCATCCCTCTGCAGAGCTCCCTGCTCCATCCTCCCCGCCCAGGAGCTGCTGCAGGGAATCTGTCACAGCGTTCCCACACTGATGGCGTTTAAACCCTGACAAACTTCATCAGGAAACGTTTTCTGCCTCATTTCTCCCGCCCGCGCCGCTCCTGGCTGGGCTGAGCAGGGCTGGGGATGGCAGCAGGAGAGGCCCCAGCACCCCAACCCTGCCCAGCACCCCAACCCTGCCCAGCACCCCAACCCTGCCCAGCCCAGTCCCTGCTCCCAGCCACAGCACACCCCAACAGCTCCACTCTCCCACTGCATCCCCCAGAGGTGCTCTTCCAGCTGGATTTGTGCTTAAGGCATTCCAGGCTGAGCCCAGGAAAGCTCCTGGAGCTGGGCTGGAGCTGTGGAAACCTGGGGGGCTGGAGCAGGCACCCCTCACTCCCCTCCCAGAGCTGGGGGGCCAGGAAAAGTCATGGAAAAGGGATGGAAAAGCAGGCAGGCATCCTCCTGCTGATGGCACATCCCAACACACCCCAAACCTGCCCTTGTGCTTCCCTAAGAGCCACCTTCTCCCAACAAACATCCAGAGCCACCTTCTCCCAACAAACATCCAGAGCCACCTTCTCCCAACAAACATCCAGAGCCACCTTCTCCCAAACAAACCATCCAGAGCCACCTTCTCCCAAACAAACATCCAGAGCCACCTTCTCCCAACAAACATCCAGAGCCACCTTCTCCCAAACAAACATCCAGACCACCTTCTCCCAAACAAACCATCCAGAGCCACCTTCTCCCAAACAAACCATCCAGAGCCACCTTCTCCCAAGTAAAACACCCTGATCCACCTTTTCCCAGGTAAAACACCCTGGATCCACCTTTTCCTAAACAAACCATCCAGAAACACCTTTTCCAAGATAAAACACCCTGACCCATCTTTTCCCAGGTAAACCATCTAGACCCACCTTTTCCCAGACAAACATCCAGAGCCACCTTTTCCTAAGCAAACCATCCAGAGCCACCTTTTCCCAGAAACCCACCCTGAACCCCCCTTTCCCTAGGTGACCCCCTTTCCCCAGGTAAAGCCCTGACCCCCCTTTCCCCAGGTGAGCCCCTTTCCCCAGGTGAGCCCCTTTCCCCAGGTAAAATCTGACCCCCCTTTCCCCAGGTGAGCCCCTTTCCCCAGGTGACTCCCCCTTTCCCCAGGTGAGCCCCTGACCCACCTTTCCCCAGGTAGACCATGCCGTACTCCCGGCCCTGCGGGGTCTTGTACTCCACGGTGAAGCACACCTCCTTCCCGATCAGCTTCTTCCGCAGGAACTCCCGCGCCGGGAAGCCCCAGGGCTGCGGGGGGAGGCGCCGTCAGCCGGGGCTGCCGGGACGGCCCTGGTTCCCCGGGAGCTCCGGGGTGAGCCCAGTTCCCCGGGAACTCCGGGATGAGCCTAACTGGGAGCTCCAGGACGAGCCCGGTTCCCCGGGAGCTCCGGGACGAGCCCGGTTCCCCGGGAGCTCCGGGCTCTTGCAGCCCCACGCCGGGCACAGAAGGCTCGGTACCGGCACCGGGTGGGTGGGAGCGCGGCCGGAGGAGGGAACGTGACGCTGATAAACAATTAGCACAATTAGCGGGGCTGACAGGCGTCACTTTGGCAGAGAGTGACATTTAGAGGCTGCTTGGAAGACAAAACTCCCCAGGGAGAGCAATTATCTGCCAGCGCTGCCGCTCCCGCCCCCGGCCCGCAGGAGGGGGCCGGGCCCCACCGGCACCGGGCGGCTCCGGGACCGCCCCGTGTGCCCCGAACCATCCCCGGGGTCCCAACCATCCCCGTGTGCCCTGAACCATCCCCG